CCCATCTCTGCTAAACTGACATCATGGCATCCTACTGCTCTTCAGTAGGTCACGAAAAAAACTATAAGTATATGGTTTTCTACTTGAACTTTGAATTCCATCTGCATTTGGTTCATGGCATGACTCACAAAAACCACACAGTTAAATGGATGCCTACCCTGTCCATGCGAGACTCATCCATACTCTTCGAGTACTCCTTCAGCTTGAATTCCTCTCGGTCAATTCGTGAACTTTCAATGTCAGCTGACAGATGAGGCATGTTGGAGACCCAGGCCACTGTTCGCTCATTTGCTGGGGTCGGGGGATTGAGGGTGGCAGGTGATTGGGAGCCCTGGAAAGAAACGTTGGCAGAATTACTATGGGAAGAGGAGGAACAGCAATTTCATCTTAAATAGAAACATACAAAAGAGAATCAAAAAATGTTTTAGAAAGCTGTGAGAAGGAAGAGAAACAAACCATTAAACAATAAGCATGAAAACTGCGCTCAAAAGAAAAGCTCTGAACTGTGCAGAAATCATTTTTATAACAAGCAGGGTTTTATTTAAAGTGCCTTGTTCATGAAATATAAGCTATGCACGGACATGCAGACCTAGAGAAGCTGACAGTGTGCAGATGTTACCTGTTTAGTCATGGTGGGTTTCAAAAGGTGCTGTTGAGACTGCTGCGGTGACTGCTGAGTGCTCTGACTGGTAGTCCCCTGCGGACTCCCACTTTCCCTGACCGAGCTCTGCTGGTGGGGGAGACCCGGGGCAGTGTTGTCTTTGACAGATAGCTGCCGGGGCCCGTGCTGCCTGCCGCCGTACCCGGACTCTGGAGACTGGAGGAGGTTTCCGCTCTGCGGACGGGTTTTACCAGAGCCGGCAGGTGCTGCTGCTGAGCTGACGGATAGCTGGTGGGAGGTCTGGGACTTGACACGTTGGCTGGGAGGTGGAGCAACAGAACTCTGGCGCATAGGCTGGACTGTAGAGGGAGGTGTGGTGGCCAGGGAAGAGTGGGATGTTCCTGTCTGGGAGGCCATACCCAACATTTCCTGCTGCTGTTGCAGATTATCCTTGGAGAGAAAACAAGGGCAAAATCAAGTGTTTTTGGATTAAAATATAGATTATAAAAAGGCTTTTTATACACAAATAGACAGAATATTTGTGTCTTCAATGCAAATATTTGCCTTGAAGACAATGTTTGCATTACCACAATGCCGAAGTATAAAGACAGGTAATGACCAAGAAGACAAGTTGATTTTGCCCATTAGAATGTCCAGCTGTTTGGATGAATTTCCATGATAAAACTAAAGAAAAAAAACAATCTTCTGGACTTTATTTCCAAGTTTGAAGATGTTTCGCTTCCCATCCAGGAAGCTTTTTCAATTCAGTGCATTGTTACACAACACAGTCTAACTTTTGACCCAATTATTTCAAGATATATAAAATTATTTTTCAGGTGAATATGCAGTAATTGGTTCATGTGGTGCATTTTGATCCGTTGCTTGATGAGTCATGTAACTAGAGTACTGCTTTAAGGTGGCCTGAGTTCCCCTTAAATACCAGAGCAGAGGGGAAGAATGTAGTGATGGAGATATGTGCTTGTTTTTCTTGAGATGCTCAATGTGTTTTAACATACTGCTCTGATTTTGTTTTTTATTTATTATTATTATGAAAAATGTAATATGTTTTCAATATGTATG